AAAGGTCACTCCTGCCCTGTCTGCCCGCCTTCTTTCGTTCCACGCTAGCCGACACACTCCTTCGAAGAATACGAGGTTCCATCTCGTGAGACAGAAATTGGCGTGTACCAAGCCGTTGTGGTAGGCCCACATCTCCGACGCTCGACATAGCAAGAAATACGAGAGAGCGATCCCCATTCATGTCACTACTCTGAAAGCATCCGTCTGCGCTCTTCCTCTCCCCGCTATAGTCATCGGCACGGTGAACGGTTGCCTTACCAACGGTTTCATTCGTCACTGCCCTCGCATGCAGTCTGTTAATTGCATTCCCAACAGCGACCACTCTGAAGTGCGACGTGGGCAGGTCACAGCCTGCGTACAGTTTATGGAAGTAGTTGATAGCCGCGATGTACCCCTTCACCGTTTGACTCTGGTTTTTGTACACGAAACACCTCGACCCCATAAACACAGTCAGCTCTCTTACTGCGCTATCCACACCGTCCTCGCCGTACAACCATGGACTCAGATTCGCTGTAGCTCTTTCAGCTGTCCACGTGTCCCACATACTGTGGCATCCCTTCAGCGTGGTTGCGTTCAGAGAGCCGTGCTCCATGATCCTGAGGAGCCTTTCGCCTTCATCGCTCGTTCCCTTCGTCCCGTGTTCGCTTCTTGTTCTTGAACACGTTAGAGTCACGACACCTTCTTTTAATTTTTTCGCTCATCATTCTCTTTGTTTTCATCACTTCTCTTTTCACACTTGCCATTTGGTTCCATGCGAGGCCATCCATTCTTTGGTTCGGCAGTCTCTCTTGCAGTATCATTTCAATTGGTTGTCTTCCGGTGTCTCAGATGTCGTGCATTCGTCAGTTATCATCATGCGTCAGTCATTCCACGTTGGCTTCTACGTCCTCTGACTTCCATCTAGATATCCCGTCCGCGAGGGTATTCTCGTGTCTCGGGATGTGTTTCGCCACGTGACACCATCCGTTTTCGATCTCCATGCGACCAAGCAGTTTCATGAGCAGTCCCGCTCGCCTGTCTCTCGAGCCCCCGCATCTGTTCACCTACGATACTGCCGACATGCATATTCCGAGCAATTCTCGCGTATTGATCGTGATTGCTCTGGTTTCTTGGGCTTCTGCTTTCCTTTTCAGCTCCGCGGTAAACGCGGGTTTGAATCGATACCGCCAGACCACANTCATGAGCAGTCCCGCTCGCCTGTCTCTCGAGCCCCCGCATCTGTTCACCTACGATACTGCCGACATGCATATTCCGAGCAATTCTCGCGTATTGATCGTGATTGCTCTGGTTTCTTGGGCTTCTGCTTTCCTTTTCAGCTCCGCGGTAAACGCGGGTTTGAATCGATACCGCCAGACCACATTTAGTTCGGGACAGTGTCCGCCTACTGCGTCGAAGCTAGCATCCGATAGGTAGCGACGGAAAGGCGTGCGTTGGACGTGGTTAAAGAATAGCGCGCTAGGTGGCTCCCCGTTCTCCGCGAGTTTAACTTCCAGCGCCCATCTCCAGAAGTCTAGGCCTCCGGTGAACCCCCACCCGAGACGTACCTGCCGCTTCTCTGTCAACTGTCTGCTAGTCTTGTCGTGAAGACCGGTGAGGCGTACGAGGTGCCATACGAAATTTTTCCCCGCCCTTATGACGTCCGTCAGGTTCCAGAGTTTTCCCGCCATGCTCAGGACTTCTTGCACACTGGCGAATTCTCTGGTCTGTGGCCAATCGTTCTCTCGCGCGGTTGTTATGGCCTCGATCCTCTCGCGTGTTGTCGCGGCCTTCATTTTATGAGTGTCTATCGTGTGTCCGAGAAAGTCCACTTTCGTATTTCAGTCTTTGCTTTTCTTCGGAACAAGAATGGACTTTTGGCCCGCCTCTGCTGGCCCGAGGAGCTCACACAGTCAGACGCTAATGACGCGGAGGCTACCAGCGCTGAGACGTCGTCTGGCGCATGTTGTACAGTCAGTAACGCGAAATGGTCTACGTACACTCCACACGAGAAATCATCGCGCGGTCCGCCTCCGTCATGCGGTTTCACGTTGGCATCTCGGGGCACTCGGGCGGGTGGTCCGTCTTCCCACGGCTCGACTATTTTTACGTGTGACAACATTTCGATCCCTTCGTCTACTAGTTTAACGTTGTGCACGTTGGGTTTATGAATGTTCAGCAGCGGACGCCATGACTCCCCCCTAAACCGGGCGGACCTGCCCAGCCAAACGGCAGCCTGAAGTCGGCGACTAGTACGTCTCCTATCACAAAGGAGAATTATTGTGCATCGCCTGGCGCGACTCTCACGTTTCGGTAAGCGTTGTTCACGTCAGCCGTGGAGACTAGTATCCTCTTGTCAGGCCATCTGACTCTCAAGCGCCCGTTATTTCAGAAAGGAAAGCAGGTAGAGTCTCGCCGCACAATCAGTAGGGTACTTGTTCTGTTACCGTATCCACGTTGACTCTTCGCTTCTGTCCGCGCAGCAGTTTTGGGTCAAAAGAAAAATCGTTGATAATTCTGATTTAGCTCCAGCGGCGATACACGAACGCCCTTCATTCGAGCTGCGTCCGCTACGTTGAATACGAGGAATCTGCTCTGTTCGACGTCGTCTATCAGCTTCTTCCACACCGGTTTTGTGTGGGCGTCTATCGTATTGTGATTTCCATATCGGGGAGCGCTCTCGAGGTTAGGCGGGCTGTCGTGCGTTTTCGCTGCCACACCGTTGTCTATGATGTCAATGAGATTCGCGAAGTCTGGGAAGTGTGTTTTGGTTCCGACGTGTTGTTCGAGGTCGCTCAGTTTCAGCGGCGGTGACACCAAGGTGCCGCCGATTGCTCTCGCGACGTCTCCCAACTTTCCGTCGTTCGTTTTCAGGAGCATGCTTGCACAAGTCTTCCCAAAGTTCGCGAATTCCTGTTTGTCGTCAGGTCGTGTACCACGTGCTAGGCATTCCCTTTGTTCTCTCCACATTTCAGCCAGTAGCTTCCCATTAGGAGGTGGCAAGGCTGCCGACCCGTCACTATCTGCGTCCCTCTTGCTCTAGGGGTCTTGGTGTGTGTCCCTCTTGCTGCAGGGGTCTTCGTCTCCAATACACGTATTGGGTAAATTAATAGCACTCTTGCGATCTTCTCCCTGGTGCGAGGGGTCTGCTTGTCTCTTGTCACGGGGGTCTTCTGGGTATATTATGTTGTCCCTTGTTACGGGGGTCTTTTTTGTCTATTTATCTCACTTGTTCAATTCTAGCACACGGTTGTTCTTATCCTTGGTTAGAGGGGTCCATTAGCGCTTGTTCTGCAGTAATTTCATGTTCATCACTACTGGTGCGTGATTTACTCTGGCTGGTACTTGTACGAGCACACGGTTGTTCTTATCCTTGGTTAGAGGGGTCCATTAGCGCTTGTTCTGCAGTAATTTCATGTTCATCACTACTGGTGCGTGATTTACTCTGGCTGGTACTTGTACGAGCACACGGTTGTTCTCCTTGGTTAAGAGGGGTCTATCAGCACTGGTTCTGCAGTAATTTCATGTTCGTCACTAGGGTACTTGATTCACTCGGGCGGGTACTTCTTCTCTCACCGTAGAACACGTTCGGCCACCAACCCGGCAAGAGGCGCTTCAGTTAGCGCCACGGTCCTGCTCCTGTCTACAAAAGCTGTTACCGTGGAGACAATCTCCCTCCTCTGCCGCGTTGGCCCCACCATCAATCTCGGCGAAACCTCTTTATCTGGACCCGATGTTGAGGGCCTGGTTCGAAACGTTGATGTTTTGGCCCAGAGCTTGCGCTTGCTGGGGCTAAAGCGCGAGCTGGCCAACTAACGGGAGATCGATGGGCTAGGGCTGGCCTTGCTGCTGGAGGCCGCTAGGAGGGAGGTGACCTAGCTGCTGTTGCTGCTGCTGGTACTGCGGGTGCTGCTGCTGCTGCTGCTGCTACTGCTGCTGCTGCTGCATCCTTAGCTCCAGGTTGCCGAGTCGTTCGCTCTGCTCTATTAGCAGTACAGACATCGTGCAGCAATATCTGGACTGGGTTGAGGCGGGGAGGTGGGCCTCCCAACCCTGCTGGCGCGGCTCCGTTCTGGCCTCCTCCTGCTGCGGGGGGCGCGTTGTTGTTTCCCGCCGCCCCTGCTGCCTGTCCGCCGCCATGGGGGGCTACCGCTGCTGCTCCTCCTCCGCCGCTGCTCTGTTGCTGGTTAGCTGCGTACGGTGGTCCGTCGGGAGGCGATGGTGGGGGCGGTGGAGGTGGCTCTGGCTGCGCTGCCTGCGGCTGCTGCGGGGGACCCTGCTGACCCTGCTGCTGCAGGTTGTTGCCGTTGTTGATCACTTGTGCGTGTCTAGGACAAAATTCGATCAAGTTCCATACGAAAAACTATTTTCTTTCGCTGCTGCTTTGCTGCACTGCCGTTGTGGGCGACACAACGCTTTTCCCTTCGAGGTCCTCGGCTTCTCAAGGATCCCAAAAGCTTCTGCCAACCTCTCTCTCTTCTTTGTACCCTGTATGTATCTATGCCCTCGTGTACCCTTCTTTGCCTCTCGCCGCTCTTTCACGAAATATCCGGAACGCTTCCACAAACCAAGCATTTACGGTTCTACCGAATCCTTCGTTGTTTATGCGATCCCGACGACGTGACGCATTCACATATCCTCCTAGCTCCAATTTCGATGGGCTTTTTCTAGCTTGAAAGAAACAACGCCGAAGTGACAAAAGGGTACTGTCACGCTGATCGCGCTTTTTTGGTGTGGTCGTGCCCTCAGCACAGCAGTTCGCAGTGTGCTGGATGAAAGAGGCGCCGAACACATTATGCACCCCGACGGCTGGTCACAGCTGTTCTCCACAAAAGCTGCACATGTGCTGTTTCAAGACATGCTTTTTTTCAGCACAGACCTGCTTCGTTCAACAACCGCGGTCCTGACAGGGTTCAGCATGCAGAAGGGCGCAACTGTACCACAGCTTCCTTCAGCTCCCGGTAGAGCTGATTTTGCAATGTTTAAATTAACACCACACGTCGACTCACTCACATTGTGGCCCTATGTATTCGTCAGTGTTTCCTAGATTGGTGGCGGAAGAATTTGCGGCCAGCAGTGTGACCGTCGACACCGACAACAACCCTTGGAAGGAGCCACCAGCGGACGTGATGAAGAGGGGCATGGCCTATGCGGCTGTTTTTCTCAGGGACTTGGATGACTACGGCAGGGCATGGTCCAACCGCCTGAAGGTTGTGTTGGTTGGATTGGGCGGGGCAGGGAAGACCAGTATTGCCACACGACTCGAAGACCGACTCGGCGGTTGCTGTCCGAACCCCGAGGAGCGCACCGTAGGCGTGGAGATACGGAACATCAAGCTGGGACCTGGCGCAACCAGCGAAGGAAGCGGGCCGAATGTCGAGCTAGACGTCAGCCTCTGGGATTTTGCTGGGCAGAGAGCATACTACGACACGCACCAGGTGGGAGGGATGATGCATCCTACGTAAAGACCATCCGTGATCCTACCATCGGTAGGGAACACGTGACCGAGTGTATGGAAAGTCTTTGGTTTGGTAACAGTTTTGACTGTCGCTCTTGGCGGCCTCTCTTTCCTTCGAGGCACACGCCATGACATGCGCTACGCACGGACACCTAATGACGACCGTTCTCCCGGATGTCCCGCGGTTTCCCAGATGTTCCTTACACAAGGCGCTCTCTTCGTTCTGGTTGTGGATATGTTCGCGTATGCGGAGGGGCATTCACCGGAGGATGCGGTCGAACAGTGGCTTGACATCCTGCAGGCCAGAGTCCCGGGTGCGGTTCTGCTCCTCGTGGGAACGCACACCGACTTATTTGAAGACAATGCAACCGAGTGCACCAAGCGAACGGATAGGTTCAAGAAAGGTCGGTCGTGGGGGCGAACTGTTGCGATTTAGTTCATGTGATGGCAAGCGTATAGTTCGTATCTCGTAACTGTACCGCAACAACTTCGGTGCGGAGTGATAGTGTAGGGACTACGACGGGCCCTGCGTAGGGTACCTGCAGGGAGCATTGAGCAGAAACATGCATGTAGTTGAAAGTTCAATTGTTCGGGAGTTGAGAGTTGGGGCTCCCCGATGTCCGCGCCGAAGTCGAGCTTATGGCACCCTAGGGTTTTACGCTTTTCGAACAGCTGCTAGCCCGGTAGTTTTGGTTGGTTGGTGTTTTTACACATGTGCGAGCACCACCGCACAGAAATCTTGCCGCTGAATTGTGTCCGAGCACTCGGTTTCCATGCACAGATTTTGTTGTACGTCGTCCAACAGCACATGTCTGTCTCCGTGGCCAACAGATGTGGAAAAGATCATGAAGCGAATAAGCTGCCAATGTGACTCGGCCAAGAACCTTGCGGAAACAGAACTGGGAGAGAGACACCCGGACTTGGAGGGAAACCCCCACTACCGACCCCTCCGCGTTGTGCTGGAGGAAGACTTGCTCACCCTTGACCTTACTTCCTCGGACTGGGAAGATATTGGCCTACTTCAGCGCCGTTTAGAGCACCTTGCCTACAACGGGTACGACGGCTACTCATTCTCATCCGTGAGAAGCGTCGTACCGGAACCGTATTTGCCAGTCATCGCAACGCTGGAAGCTGTTCGTCTGGGCGCGGATTTGCGTGGTTCGGGCGGGACACGAGAAGCGGTGGTTCAAAGACTTCGGGAGGGGGACCCCAGGAAACGTCGAAGCTTCGTCAGATTCTCGGAGGCCGTTTCACTTCATCGCAAACAGCAAGAGGAGTCCACGCTCTCCCGAGTTTCCAACTTGGCCGCATCGCTTCTGTTTCCCAAACAGGAAGAGGAATCCATGTCCTCTCGGATTTCCAACTTATTTGGCCGAGATGATGAACTGCGGCGCATATTTCTGGCCGCTATCAAATCACACGAGGCTTACGGCGCGATTCTTCTGACTGAGGTTGATGGGGGTGGGTGTCCTCAAGAGCAACGTAACGTGGGCATCGGTGCTGCGGCATCAGCAGCGGACCTCATCATCCACGTGAACCCGTCCCGGTTTGCTGATCTGGTCCGCCGGGTGGTGGACGTTCGGTTGGTAGACCCGCGGCAGCAAGTAAAGGTGGAACAAGCGATGGCGGCATGCCCGTCAGTAAGGCCAATGCTTTTGACACTCACAGATCAGCACAAGAGGTTTGTCAAGGCGGGAGAGGTCAGCAAAGACTACCTCAAGTTTCTATGGCTCCGAGACATGGAGTTGGGCCAGGCAAGCCCAGAGGCACCGCCTCTGGAGATGAGCGAAGCAGACGTCGACGTGATGGTGGGTAGTTTGCTTGACGTCCGGTTCATGTATCGAGTGCGAGATGGTCATGACGCCTTCGTGCCGGACCGTTACGTTGTAGCAAGCTGTCTCCCGAACAAAGCTGGTCCGGAGGTGGATCCGGGGAAGATGTTAGAACTGAAGGCGGGAAGTGCGGTATATTCGCAGAAGCTGAAGCTGGTAGGGGCACATGCTGTGCCCCCGGGGCTGGTGCCTCGGTTGTTGGCGTGGTGTGGACGTGGGGAGGGGCACATCAAGGCGTGCTGGAAGCGAGGCGTGTGTTTTGCGTTCAAGAACCACATGGTATTGTTGTACGAGGTTCGGGATACTGCTGGAAACTCGTGGATTGAATGCCACGCGAGGGGTAGTATGTTCGACGAGAGTGCGAGAACGGCTCTGAATGACATCGGCGACCAGGTGAACGAGCTTATCAACGACCGCAAATACGGATTCCCCGGCCTGGGCCTCATCCGTGGAGAGTCCGAGGAGGCACTCGTCTCTTCGGATGGTGACCACGAGGCTTTGGTGAAGCGTATCGTGAACATGCTGAGGGATCAGATGAACGTCAAGTTCATGATGGATAGAAGCATCAAGCAGGACCTGGCCTTCCTACGGTGAGCACTCATGTGGTATGTACGTTTCGAATGCATATTGTTCGTACCACTAATGCGCAACATTATTTAGGTGCCACATATTCGAAAACACGTGGCCAAATGTTGCCCGCACAACACTCCTCGTACACTCCCAGCTACTTGTACGTCGTCCGGTGGTACCCACAGCTCGAAGGCTCGGGGCAGAAGTTCAAGTGGGAGAATGCGGATCCTCGATGTAACGCCATGGCCCTTCCTGTTTCGTTGGAACGCTCAGGTGGCCAATCCCCCGCCTGGTGTGCGTGCTCCCCGCCCCCGAGAGCGGGGCGAAGCCCCTTGAGGAGAAAGATAGGTCATTCGACAAGTGGTCGGCCACCCTGCGAAACTGGTGCCTCGGCGGGAAGAGGAAGGGCAAGGGGGTTGCGACTCGAAAGCTGCGGTTGTTCTTCCTCTGTCCGTACGACAGGAGCCTCGCCGAGTGCGGCCCCGGAGGGCAAGGCTACGAGGTGCGTAGGCCAACGATGCAGTGCACGGCACGTTGAAAGTACGCCCGCCTGTTAAGAGTATCTCTAGTGGTTCACCGGTGTTCCCTTCTTGCCGTCGTATCAGAGACTCACACGGTTGGTATCTCATCATTGGTGGCCTGCAGGGCAGATGTCACAACGCGCGCGTCGTTTCCATTGTCACACCTCTCCCTGCCGGTCAACAGTCAAACCACTTTGAAGATCGCAGCTGGTGCTCGCTTGATCACTGACCAGGTGACAGAATTGCTGACCTGGGCGAAGAAAGCGATCCCGTTGGCGAAGGTAGGTCTGGCCCTCGCCTCGACCGCGTTCAAGGTGTGCACTGGCCTTTCTATTCCTGAGGCGGACTTCGAGGCAACCCTTGGGACAAAAGCCGGCGGTGCCTTGTCCACGTTCGTCGAGGATTCACTGAACTCGGGTGGCGAGTCTATGGCGAGCATCGCCGGGGAGAGACTGGACGGCGGTACGGCGGACGAGCTGCTCCAGGGTGTTGGAGCGCAGAGATTCGGGGCACAACAGGTGAAGCAATTGTTTGGCGGTGCCAATTTGTTGCATTGGAGACTGTTGGAAGTGGATAAGGTGTCAAAAACGTAGAAGAATAGTCACTGAAGGGCTACAATTGCTGGCTGAACTTTCTCCGGTGTTAAATCTGCTGGTCTTGTGTGTGCGTACACCCCAAGAAGTGAAACATAGCGCCCAGAGTGCGTGGGACAACGTCGTACACCAAACCGTAGGTCTTTTGTGGGTGAACGTTGTGGAATCCTGCAAGCACGCGAACCTCCACATGCTTGCTTTTCTTGCCATGCGTGACCCTGTTGAGCCCAAGAGACCTTAGGCATGCTATGTCACGCCGGTGTTCGATCCCAAACCTGGACGGTGGTGCCCACCGTTGTACAGATGACCACGGTTTATCCTCGTTGTCCGCCCTCTCACCCCACGTACTCGGTACCTTTTTATCTAGGGATGGCCTTCCCCTGTGCAAGCGTTTGCCTACGACGCACTCAAGGAGGTTATCAAGCGTTTCGAGGTGGCTAATATGCGGGACAGGTCCCCCTTCCCGAGCTTCGACGTCAAGATGCGTCTCGTGGACAGGGGTGGGCAAGGAGCAGAGTGGTCGTGGGTAAGGACCAAGAACATTGACCAGTTCGTGGGCGCGTAAGCCAAGCTTGAGGCCGAGGGGCCGTGATGTCCTTTTCCTCCCTTGAGAAGGACGCGAAATCGAGGTCAATCGTGGTTCTCCGACCCTCGTGAATTAGGGCGGGCGTTCGTGACGTGGCGTTGTCGATTGGTGGTAATGCATGAATTTGTCGCCGTATATTGCACGCCTTTCAAAGGCGATGTTCTTGGAGAAGAAGGCATTCTGTATTGGAGTGACATGTCCCTGGGATGGGCGATGGAGGTGCCCATCGGGGAATATGACGGGGCAGAACGAGGTCGACATCCAAGTCTACAAGATTTGACGAGGCGCGCGTTATTCCGAGTTCTTATGTTGCCTTCATCGTTGTTTGGATGAGGAGAAGCGACAGATTGCTCGTTTGAGTAGCCATCAACTGTTTTCGGGAAAAATGGTTGCTGAGGAATCGGAGTGTCGAGGTTCCCTGTTAATCCTTGGGTCTAGCTTTCCTGTTCTTGCATTGCCTTGTGTCCCTCTGTGAGCACTTGCTAATATTTAGCAGTTATTTCGCTTATATTTATTCGAGGAACGTATAATTCGATTTGCGCGTCGGCGCTGACCAGCGTTCCGATTGTTCGCGCGCTCAAGGAGCAGTATTCCGATTTTTGGGGCCCTGAGAAACCACTATTCCAGCCATTCCTGTTCACGTGAAATTTGGCTTTTTCTTTCCGGCTTTTATTCCGTAGTTTGCACGACGTCTCTCGCTCTTTCTGTGTTTTATCCCTCTCTCTCAGCTCACACTAATGTAATGTTCGCTCCGCACAAAACCGGTACATATTCCGTCAGCTGCTCACTGCGTGCGTTTTTCGTTTATCCCGCCGTGGTGGGTGAAAGCGGGCGTGCTTTTGACATCCACATTGACCGGCAAGAGGTCATATACCACGAGCTCGACAAGTGGTCTTGAAGAATCACGTAGCACGCTTGTGGGTGCTGTGAGAGTGTACTACAATAGAGGATCCCTGCCTGGTGCCGGTTGCCGGATTAGTGCCGGTCAAATCGCGGCGCACAGGCAGAGACCTGATAAGTGCCAGACTGGCACTATTGAGGGCTGCCCACTGCCCACTATGGTGCCGGTTCGGGCATCACTGACCTCAACATAGTCCCGGCTTACGCACGCACGCACACAGCTTTCAACCGCACTGAGACTCACGTCGTTTCATTGGTCAACCAGCCGGCACACACTAGAGGATGATGACGATGAAGCAATCCAAAACAACGCGTAGGAGCCATCGTAGTATTCCTCTGTTGTTGCTACGTACGTTATCTGTCTTCAATCCGGAGAGAAGCAGACTCCCCCATGACGCTCCTTCACAGGGCCCCCAGATCGTGTGGCCTTGGAAGCATTTTGTGTTTTCAACCGCACCGAAACTGACGTCTGTTCATTGGCAGCCGGCGTTGCAATGCTAGTAATAAAACACACACATTCATGCAAAAACACATACACAAAGCACCATAGAAAACAGACGCCACAGAAACACAAGGGGACACGTGCTGCTGCAATCCCGAGCAGCTCTGCGCAGAGGCGCACCGTGCCGTGTGCGGAAGGTGGACTGCTGTGCTACATACAGGACAGAACACCTCTGGCGTCATCTAGAGCAGCACGGATGAATTGGCACAAACGGCGTGAAATATTCTTGCACTTGTGTCTAAGAGATGTGTCTCCCTCCCTAAACCTCTCCTTCCAACTCCGTCGAAAGTACGGCTACGTCAGGGCCAGGTGGGCCAAGCCAGAACATATCGCCATCTCCTGTTCTCGGGTCAGCTTAGCGAGCGAAACACTTTTTTCGCAACAACAATCGTTCCGATTTCATGCAACACACACCTCACACGGGCAAATAATTTTCCCCAAGGTCTTCGCGTCAGTTGGACCGGTACAAACATTCGAAGGTACTGAGAAGCGACCGGCTTTAGTATGACATGAGCATCGAACAAATTCTCAAAACATTACATCTCGGCGTCGCTCTACTTCAAGGCCATGAAATACCAGCCCCCGCACCTCTAGCCTGTTGCTCATCCGCTGAGCCCCCTGAGTGATTACTTCACATGGAAGGCTATTCGAAACCAACCATCGGCACCGTCTTGGGGTCGTCACGATCCACGAACATAGCCTCCACGTCTGTCATCTTCTCACCCGCTCCCATCTCGACCCCCCCTCCTCCAGCAATACCGCCCCGTCACCCCCGATAGATCCAAAGAACCTCTTCGACCACGCCCCCCCTCCCCTATCGCTCCACCCCGCTTTCAACCATCTAACCTCCCCACCCCCCGCTGCCGTAGACTCTGATTCTGGTGGCTCTGTTGCCACTGCTTCAGCAGCAGCGTGTACGTCGTCATCATCAGCCACGCGGCGCAACACCAAGACGTCGCACTCTTTGGCTCCCCCTGCGAGGGCTGCCCTTACGGCGGCCTCCGCGGTGCCTCGCCAATCCAGAGCGCCGAGGTCCGGGACCGATTCAAGCTTGTCCAAGGCCTATGTAGAGCATCAGCATCGTTTGCGGGAAGCGAGAGAGAGGAAAAGCGAGCTTGGGGGGTGGAACGGACGTAGAGCGACCCTGGACACATACAATCTGGAACCACGTCTCTCTGTCCTTCTTTTGTTACACGTGCTACTGAAGCTAAAGCAACTCTGACATGCGGTCCGACCGGCGAAAGATACACCCTAATCCTCCCGCACTTATTCCCATTTCCAACGGAAGCCGTGACCACAACAAATAGCCGGATAGCCGTCCCACATTCATTCTAAGCGAATAGATTCACCGAGAACGTATCGGTTGCTTTACGTCTACTCCTGCAGCGATTCCTGCGAACACATTCACATACCACCGATACTCCTGGTGCCACATAGTGTCGGGTCCGTTGCATGTTACTTACCGCATCTCTCTCACCTTGTCCGAAGCCTTCCCTACCGCGGAAGCGGCCCACTCCGCGTATGCCCCCGACGGCTCCGACCGGAAGACGCTGGGGAGCAGCGTGTCCTCGTCGAATCCGGCGACAAGGCAAGCGACGCCGTAGGGACGCGCGCCGCCGGTGCGGGTGTAGCGGTGCTGCAGTCCTCCTGGCATGGCAGCAGCGGCAGCAGCAGCAGCAGTAGTCGCAGCAGCAGCAGCGGTAGCAGCAGTAGCAGCAGAAGGAGTACGAGTTAATCGAAAACCAACGCAGGCGAGCCCGAAAAAGTGGGAGTTTAGAAAGAACGTTCTGTGAGTGCTTGCAGCGGCGAAGGAGCTACGTGGAAGTGACGATGGCGCCCCTGCAGTCCTCCTAACGAAATACAGGATGGACGAGAATATCTTTGGGGTAGTTGTTAGCGTGGAGACCGTTCAAAAAACGCTCAGCCTGTTGGTGTGCTTTAGCAACTGAATCGATCATTTCGCAATATGCGCTTGGGTTCTTGTTGCCAAGAGGAGCGCATATGGTCACGCTCACGAATCGACCTCGTACGTACACCCGCAATCGTTCGATTGCGGGTGTACGTACGAGGTCGATTCGTGAGCGTGACCATATGCACTCGCCTTTGCAAAAAAATAACGAAGCACAGTTAGCACAACAACATACACCAGAGACACACAAGATGTAGTAGTGTCTGAGCAGCAGCGCCTACATCCGTGGACGACACGCCCATGCGCGTGCAGCAGCACAGAGATTTTCGAGACACGTTAGATCCAACCAGAAGGAACACTACGTATAAGCAACCTCCCCTATTGTGATCACGGAAATCGACCGCGTCAAGTGGTAGCTCAGGTACTGGGTATAGTGATCGGGAGGGTTTTTAATGTGAAGTCAGCAACAACAACGACTACTGCTGCTGTTGCCGTTCAGAAATACCAATAGTAAGTGGCTGGTCAAGATAGATACAGATAGCGCCCGCGCTTACGAACTTAGCAGTTAGGAAATTGAGACTCGCAAAAATCAGAAGCAAAGAACTTGAGCACCATTTGTGAGCTCGGTTAAGAACCCTACACTACAACCTATATAGCGGTCATTTGTAGCCCACAAGAGGATGATCAGCAAATAAGAAGCCCAGCCTCGGCCGAAACTAGTGGTTCTTAAGTGCGACCGCCATCTGTATGGCATAGCTGCTCACCGACATATCTGGCGATGTACCCGACGCTCGGAGCGGCTCCCATGCTGTACCGGAAACTCTGACACTCCAGCCTTATCTTGGACGCCAAGACGCGACCGTCCGCCGAAATGCCCGCGAACGCGAGGTAGACTCCTTCATCGATCTTTGCAAGGCGGCGTGTGAAAAAGAACAGACGGTGCGAGTAAGTCAGCAACAACATCGACAATTTTCATTCATACTAATTCCGCGTGTGTCGCCGACTTCACCGAGTGGACAGGTTCATCACTAAAGAGGAGCTGCTGTTGTTAAGGGGGTGGGGGACAGTCGTCCTAAACAGAACGCTGCGAGCAGTCCCGATAGGTAGACACATCGCCAAGAGAGGGAGGTAATCGTGTGCGTGCTGGGATGTACCATTGACAACGGGACAGGTGCAGTATAAAGCACCGTATCACACGAGAGCGCCCTCCGACCACACACATCACCAACCCCCCCTCAAAAACCCTGCCCCTGGTCACGTACGCATGCAAGCATACGCGTGGTTTTCACATACCTCACACAGCTTTCGATCCTGGTTGTTAGCGCTGTCCACGATACCCACTCCGACCCCTGGATCACGCACGCCTCCCTCGCGACGTTTACGTCTACTCCGCCGCCTGCTGTAGACATGTGCATCGCCCGCTCCTGCCGTGTCTCCGGCGGCGCCGGCGCCGGCGTCGGTGATGACTGAGGTTGCAACCGTTGTCTCGGATGGTCGTGACGGTGTTGCATCCGGGTCTGTGACATCGCCGTCGGCTTCGGGGCGCTCGAGGCACATTGCGATGGCGTCGCGGCCGTTGCATGCGGCAACCGCAAGGCTTCCTCGCTTCACCGCTTCTTCCGCGTAGGACACCTGAAAGCCCAAGATGGAAGACAAATACGGAGGAACAACAAGTGCAGTCGGCGCGACGGGAGCGGATGCCAAGCCAAAATGCCGCTGTACAACGAACGATGGAACGTTTTTGTAACGGTTGCATCAATGTTTGCTGTCGTGTAGTTGCTCCATGTTCAGGTGAACACCACAGCAGGAGCACAACGACAGCGCTGAGGGTTTGAGAAGTGGTCACAGGCCGGGCGCAACACACCGACTGCTGTAATGCCAAACCCATGTGGACCTGGTGCATTGAGTGAGGGTCAAATGCCGCGCGCTCAAGCCCGTGCATGCTTGTGTGCTACTTCGTACACAGGTTTTACATGTAAGTCTATTCCTGCCGTACACGATGTTATGCGCGAGGTACACGGATGCCAAACACATGGATGCACCGCATCAACACCAAGTAAATCCACAACGCCGCGCGCTTGAAGAAGCCAGTCCACACGTCCACACCCCACGGATGCTGCTGCTGTCGTACGCCACTAGACGTGCACAAAAATTGAAATTCGCACACACTGCTGCTACCCAACGCCGGATTCGCCGCAATAGGCGTGTGGGAAAAAAGCGCTTGCCACCAGGAGTCGACAACTGCACATCTTTGCCTTTGGCATAGCGGTATCTAAACAGTAGCGCACTCCCGCCGTAGTGGACGGCGGTGCTACAGCAGCAGTCGATACCCAGTCGATATGTACGACACAGAGGTCGATATGCAACTCATTGAAGTCTAGACTAATTGCGCCGCGTATCATACCTGCATCAGTTTGCCATCAGGGGAGAAAACTGTGATGGCACGGTCGTAGACGGCAGCAATACAAGGCCGAGCAGCCAGAATCACCGCCAGGACCGCTATGGGAGCTCGCATGATTCTGTCTGTAGGAAAGTCTGTCCACAACACTGCTGCTGGGCATGACGTCGCTACGGGGGCGAGAATGATGGAGAGATGGGGGGTCCGCGAAACTACGAAGCATGTGTCAGCGGTGTCGCGGCCTGCGGCGCAGACACTCGAACAACACAGACACGGCAGAAAGAAATAGGGGACCGAAAAAGTGACCACAAAGCTGGCAGTAGGGAGAGAGTTGCGCCATCAGAGTGTTCGCACGGAGATTGCTCAATGTTGGCGGATTCTTGAGCGAAAACCGCCAAAAGGGCCGAAGGTACAGCAGTGAGAGGTGGGACCGTCGGCTCCGCCGAAGCAATCGTCAGTGCGCGCACTGGGGATGCAGCAAGGGTCCATCATTCGACGACGCGGGAGGCAACAAGCGAGGATTCTGCAGCGTTCATCTCCATGAACAAATGTCCGCACATCAAGATTTGCAGCACCAAAGTCAATCCTGCGGTTGGATCCAACAAGACAGAGTTCTGTTGCGAACACAAAACCCGAAAACGCGCTGGGGATGGGGAAAGCACGCACAGCAGTCGCGGCGCTTCAGCGGCCCCACGGACACCTCCGACTTCCCATGGACACAATCTCAAGTTGACGATATCAACAGAAAGAAACACATGGAACCCTCCAGTGGAGCGATGTGCACGGATAAGCAGTTGCATGTGTGATAGATAACTCCACCCCGTGGGCTGTAGTGTAAAATTTCGTGTTCGGCTCTTTGTGTAGTCGAAGCCAGCTGAATCTTCTTCTCTCTTCCCTCTGTGTTCTACACCTCTGTTCTCTATGCCAACCTCCCCACATGCGTAAACTACGCACCAAGTAACTCTTAAGCAAGACCAAGTAACTCAAGCAAGGATCCGCCATTGCACTGCCCAAGCTGCGGAGCCGTGTCTGCTTCTCCGCAACCACAACCGCGTTTGACCTCTGCCCCACCACGGCACCAACGATGTACGCCCGACCTTCTCCTTCCAATGCAGCTGCTCGGTCTCTTGTGATACGGAACCTCTTGGCCTATGCATACCAAAAGAAACATTTTGAGATAACGATATTCCCAGATCTAAAAAACATGCACGAAACCAGAAACGTGAGTGTTTAGCTACTGCCGTCCTCGTCGATATCGATTTGATGACACCGTGCAACTGCCGGCTGGTTCGGCTGCCTCAGCGCTCCTCGTGACGGGCATTGCTCGAAACACGCCACCCGAAACGCCTCGTCCATGTCTCTTGCCAACGGAGTCTTGTTGAACGAAAACTGGGACATACGGACGAACAACGACTTCGAGTTTTGGTCGAGCAAGTTGACGATACCATTTGAATCGTGTTCCATTGCTGTCAGAAACAGCACGGGAGGGTGTGGTGTGCGACGCAAAGGCAAATGTGGCATATCGCGAAACACAATATACACGCGTGCGTGACGTCTCCTGCATACGAGGGACCCCGTCATAGATGGTCATGCCGAAAACAGCGCGCCCTATACTTCCGCCTGACAACGGCACGTTCAAGACCTCGCTCGTGTAAGCCGCGTCCTTGCTGTCGATCCTACAAGAGATAATGTAGTGCCTACGCCTTCGTACCTGGCAACTGAAATCCTCGTAATTCGGCGTCATCTCCAGTGCCAATCCCATGTCCTTGGCGAAGAACTCCTCCGTCGGCACCTACAATACGTGGACAGAAGAATGGCATCGCAGTTTCAAGAACACAATTAAGGCTATACGTGAAACAAATAACTCAATCGCAAGAAACCAAGACGCGAGGTTCTGAAACGAAGCACTCCCAGCGTGCCGAACTAGCAAGGGGAAGCTGAACAGGAGAACGCAGCAAGTGCATACACACTATCTAGCTGAATGAGAGAAGAGCAAATACACACACATTAATCATGCCCACAGTGGTGCTGGGACACCTGCCAGAAAGAACCTCGAGCTCCATTGACGACCCGAATGCGCAATTGGAGGCTGAGAACAAGGGACAACGTTACAAGAGATAATAATTGAATCCGGCCCCCCTAAGATATTTTACAATTCACGATTCTTCTCCTTGCCTTGCACGTGTTCATGCAGACCGACGCGCACCCCGCAGCCTCCAGAAACCTGCACCGCTCCACAAGCAGGCCGTGTCCGACACCCACAGTCCCGTCATCGATCTGCCGCAACAGAAGGAACGAATAACGCGAATCGACGGTGCTTCACAATGTATTACGGAGACAGCATAGACACCCGATCCATTGTGCCGTAGAATAAGCCCGTACAGTGGATCGAATTTCGTTTTCCAGGCAAGCTCTTTCGCCGAGAAAATATATTGCCACGGCGCTTAGGCGTGACGAAATACCGCTAAAACCTCAAAGGACAGGGCGGGACTCAAGTGCTGTCGGCTTTCCGCGCTCTCTCGCCAAGAATGGCCCGTAGACACGGCAATTGAGCTCTTTGCTGATTACTGCTGTGGTTACGAGATCGCACTACCTCGACATCGTTGAGCTTCGACGGCCCCATGAGCCACTGAGACGCGACGAGGGTCACCCAGGCGTTCAAGCGCGAAGAGAAAGCCGGGAACGGTTTCGAGAACATCACCGCGAAGCTCGCCGGCAGCCAAGCAGGGAAGAGGGACTTCAATACTCGCCTGCGGCAGAGTGAATCAAAAGGAGATTCATGGGAAGGAAATGGAAACTCGTGGAAGGTCTCCGAAGAAAGAAGTGTGGAAGCTGGGCAAGGAGGGGCAGTGATGGCCAAATTTCTAACTCCTCCAGTACATCAACAAGACTTGCTGATATTGGGCTATCGGGTGCTCCGTCGAGCGCTTCCTCGGCGCTGACATGTATG